CAAAAGTAAAAAAAAAAAAAAAAAAAAAAAATTAGGACCATTAGCTTGTTTTTGCTTTCTTTTTGAAGCTTGCCACTTCTACAAAATCATTGTTTTCTTTGTTCCTCCTTCAGGAATTGTGAGGGGGAGAATATTCGATACAAGACATGCAGCCATCACGTAAGTCCTAGAACAAAAATATATAGCCCAATAAAGTCAATGTCATAATAAGTACTGTAAAACTAACATTTTTTTGTGAAGTTGACTACTTGTTTAAGTGACAGCTGCTTTTGTGTATCCAGTACCTTCCATTGATCTTAACTTCTTTGGCCATTTAATAATCTCTGAATTCATAGAAACCAGGTATTATACCATAAGTTCCTGCAGAGTTCACAGTGTTTTTTGGCTCTCCCCTGAACTCCACAAGATCTCTGAGGTGTAAGCAGGCAAATGTGGTTATTTCTCTTATTCAAATGATGGAACTGGGGCTGAGGAGGGGAAAGATTAATTTCCGGTCATATAGGAAGATGAAGAATATGGACTTGAGTGGTCCACAACCCACCTGTCTTGCCCACTGCAAAATACGTTCAGATCAGAAGATCACGCTGAATGAGGGATTTATACAAACCTTACTCTTGTTTCCCATCAGTCACCACTAAGATAAATTGGAATATTTTTCTTTGCAAATGTAAAAAATGACAAATAAACCCAAGGATTCAATCTTCTTTTCCACTCAAACCATTTCTCTTGTTATTGGTTTTGATGCATACCCAAATTAAAATTCTAGGAATTAAAACAAAACTGAGATGCTGGAGAACTCGTTTGAAGAGATTTAGGTGTTCTCTTGGACAGGAGTTTGGGAAGGTCTCCAGCTCTTTTGGATGATGAAATGATGCTGCAGACAGCAGTAACTAAAGCATGGTAGCTTTGAATCACACATGTGCCTGAGAGTGCTGACATAATTGGAGAAACAGTGTACTTTAAGGGACCATCGTGAATACTCCCAGCTCTGGAACAGTAGGAAAGACCTGAATATCCAGTTAGCAAGGGATAAAGATCAGGGGAGAGCAGGGAGTGACATGTTTCATGTGGCTTTGTGTCTCCTGCCACCAGCTCCAGCAGCTCCTCTGCCTAGGGATGGATGGACTTCACAGGTGCATTTCAGAAGTCCATCACCACAGCAGAGGATGCTATTTATAATGGGCTGCAGACACAAAAGAGAAAGTCAACTAAGGTATTGCATGAAGCCTGGATGCAGTAGGGGCATGCATGTAAAGGGCACAGATGAAGAAATCTCATCCTTGCTGTGCAAGAGGCAGGAATGGGAGTTTCAACCACATTGTTGTCCCCAAAAATCAGGCTGTGGTTTGGTGGCTCTCCCAAGTCTGTTCTTTTGGGGTAGATGGGGCTTTGGGCTTTGGGGATGAAAGATAAGGGAACAGATATGCCTCCATGCAGGGCTCTGGCTCCCATGTGCCTGCTGTCCCCAGACAGAATCTTCAATCAGCATTCAGCATAGATCCTTATAGCCGGAACCTGGGCCCATGGCCACAGAGAAGATTGACCCTTATCATGGGCCTATCAGAAGAGTGGCATTTTCCAAGAAAAGTCATGCATGTCATCCAGGAGATCTAATACCTGAATCCCTGATGACTTGGGTTTTCTTTTACCAGGGTTTTTAGGATTAATAGCAATGCTGGAAGAGGCAAAGGGAAAAGTACTTTTGATTCTGCAGTCTATCACAAACTGGCAAGTATGTTTTTGTGGTATGTACATATTTGTTATGAGAACAGTTAGTTCTATACAGTGAGCTGTCTGTGTTCCCTATGGCCTTCTAAAAGCGATGACATTTGATGTGGGCCCTGAAGGATCCATGCACCAGGGACCCTACATATGCCTAGTTTCTGATAGCTTTTCACTTTTTTTTTTTTTTTTTGAGCCGTTCTTTCCTTTCCATTGTTGTTGCTCTCACCCTGGGCAAGATCTCCAGACCTCCAGACCACCTTGAAGTCACCCTGGTACTTCTGAAATGCTGCCTTTTCTGTGTCACTGCCTTGTTTGTATCCTCAATACTTCTCAGTACCCTTTCCCCATGTGTGGGAACCTTGAGACATTGGCTGGGTTTACAAGGTGTGGTTGAGAAATACATCGAGTGTTTATAACAGTAAAAGACACATTGCCACGAATCTGCCTCAAAATCTTTCCCCTCACTTTGAACCTACTTATCCCATCATCCTAGACACGTTGTGAAGCAACTCTGGTAGTCTTCTCTCCTGGGTGTCTTTAGTTATATTATTGTGGCTACCTCAATTTAAAACACTGACCTTTCATAGTCATTTTGACTTTGGGGAAGACCCAGAGGTCTCATAATTCCAGATCTGATGAATCAGGTGGATGTGGACACACCATAATGTTTTTACCAACCTGCCTTTTTGTGGATAGTACCCAGCAGCAGCATTCACCATATTTTTTATCACAGCTTGCAAACATGCTCACGAAAGAGGACTTTCCCAGAATTACTTCAGAAAGTGGCAAGAAAAATAAGCTAAGTGTATTCAATGCTGGGGAAATATTTAGAGGGGATTAATGGCACTGTAATAATTTTTAAAAATGTAAACATTCACCAGATATTTCAATCACACCTTGAACTTCTTCAGATTACAACTCTCATGTTTACTGGACAGTGCAGTGCAAGACCCCTTAAAGATACTAAATTATTTTTGTTCATGTTGTTTTTCATATCTTGATAGATTCCTGTTTACATCATACCATCCTTTAAATCCCATCCAAGCTTTCACATTTCCATAATGCTTTATTTATTAACTCAAGCTTTGAGTGTCCACCTCCCATAGTTTATTTTTATGCTAAAAATTTTTATCATTTGGGATCACAAAATTTGACTCATACTACAACTTGGATATGAAGATAAAATGAAATTTTAGTTTTCTTGTAACAGAAATATTTCTTCTGAGTCCCTCTCTTCATGGATTATCTGGAAAAAATTAATTATCAAATCCAGGTTAAAGCTTATTAATTATACAGTCCTATTGCATAAATCTCTTATGTAATGCTCTGTCTCTCTTGCTTGAACATACTCAGTTTATTAGGTAATCTTCCTGTTTTGGCTTCTCTCCTTGAGTTGTGCACATGGTGTACACATTTCTGTGGCCTTAGGATGGGAAGGAGGCCCTTATTTTTAGTATGGTCTGTAAGTAGGTGCTAGGGGTCAGCTGCTGACCAGAGTAGTCACCTCTTCTCTCTCCTCCTTCCCATTTTCTCTTCCCCTTCCTCTCTTTTTCTCCACTTTATTCTCCTCTCTCCCCTTCCCCTCTTCCCTTTTCCTTTTCCTCTTCCCTTTCTGTGCTTCCCAGTCTGACTACTTCCTCCTGAGGCACACTTCTATTTTAGATATATTAATGACCTCTATCAGGTTAGAGTTAGTGTTGCTGATCTAGGCTCTATTCGTTCTTTATTAACTCTCTGTCATCAGCTTTCTCATTTAGTTTTTGGATAATAATTGCATTTCTTTTATTGCAGCCCTATTGTAAACCTACACACCCCAGAAATGACACATGGTTCCATTGTGTCCCGTACCTATAGATGCTACATCTCCAATCAGAGAACAAACCCACTGAGCGATAGGTTGGATTATATTCTTTTCTGTTCTCCACAGTATGTGACCTAGGGCAAAGATCATAAAGCATATTTAATAAGTACTATGACGAGGAAATAATTCTCAGGAAAAGGAAGAATGTTGACTGTTCATGTTTCCTGTATGTTGACTAGACTCTTTAAGGCAAAAGAATTCCCAGATTGTCTTGGACTGGTGTATGGCCCATCTGAGTCTAACAGGGCAGGCGTATTGTGATGCTGAAAGAATGAGAGGTGAAGGAAAGCATTCAACATGTCACCCCCCACACCCATTTACTAGAACGTGGTATAATATAATGGAGTGCTGGTTGCTTTGGGAATCTACCTTAACTCTGTTAATTCTAATTATATGTCCTTGGGCTCATGCTTAAAAGGATTTCTACATCACCATTTCCTTCACTTAGGAAAGGAGGACAATGATAATCTTGACCTATCCATCTCCAAGCATGGTGGAGAGAGATATTAGTAATAGGTTCTGGTAGACTCCAAATCATGATCCTAATATAAGGTACCACCAGAAGTTACAAACAGAGAAGCCTGTGCAACTAAGGTTAAGGAAAATGGGATTCACTGAATGGATATGTGGTATTTAATGCAGTTTAGCTTAAATAGGCCTGAGGTTCCTTACTTCTCCTTTGAAATGCACAGTTCATCATCTGCCCTTCTTCCTTACCTAATTCATTCTTCTCTGCTGTGAGAATTCCCTTGTGAGGCTTCAACATGCAAATCCAAGACAAAATGGCCAACCCAGCCTGGGCTGATTGAGTTCTCATATCTGGCTCTTTTACTGCAATTCCAGATTTCTAAGATGGACCTGATTTGAGGCACATGTTTGCTCCTGGATAGTCGCTGTGGCCTTGGAGGACTGACCTGGTCACCCTTGAGGCAGGGTTTAATCTAGGCTAATGTCTTCCGTTCCTTAGCTGTCAGTATTTTTTTTTTTTTTTTTTTTTTTTTTTTTTTTTTTT